CCTCGACGCCAGCAGGCCTCGGCCATGGAGCTCAGAGCCTTGGCCGCCTTCTCCGGTGAGGTTATGCCCCTCACCGCAGGCTTGAGATTAGATGGAAGATAGGATAACAATCTTGCTTAATTCCTTCAAGTCCGTTACCATAATATATATAGCCTTGCGGCTGCCAACAAAAGGAAAACAAACTCCTAATCTTAAGGTAACAAATAGATGCTAATAATAAGGGAACTAATCTCGATAACTTTCCAATCGAGGCCTCCTAGCCACGACCGCCTGATCGGCCTCAAGAAGCGTTGCTCACACGCCCGACGACTTCAGCCGCCCTGCTGCACATATGTCGCGGCGGCGCTGGCCGGGCGATACACCGCCCACACATGACATCTCCCCGTCAAGTCCAGCTCGCCCTCGAGTGAAACGAAGGAAACCGAAAAGGAAATCGCCGAGGTCTTCCCAGAGGCTGCAAGTGGGTCGTGACCTCCCATTCGACGAGGACTTGGCGAACTCCACGAGCCAGCGGCCTGTGTCTGTGGGCGAGGGCGCAGCACGACGGCACCGTTGGAGAGGGGCGGCAACGCCGGTGGAGCAGCTGGCGGTGACCCCACAAACTTCTTGAGGACGCCCACGTGGAACACATCGTGGAGACGGGCATCCGGGGTAGCTCCAGCGCACGGCCGCCTCATTGATGACCTCGGTGACCTTATCACGACCAACGGCGTGGCTTCAGCTTGCCATGCACCGCACGGGCATGGACGCAAGAAGACGCTGCCGGAGACGCAGCAGCGCCCAGTCCCCAACTGTGAAGACGACGCGACGATGATGCTGATCGTAGACGCGCTTCTAGACCGCCTGAGCCTGCTCCAGACGGACACGAATGTCGTCCAGGAAGGCGGCCCTCTCCTCCATCTCTTGAGCGTTTTAAAGCGAAGCCGCCGTCAGGGACCGAATGGTCGGCGGGTCCTCGCCAGAAACCACACGGAATGGGGTCTCACGCAGGGACGACTGAAAGGCGGTGTTGTAGGTGTACTCCGCCCACGGCAGCCACCGGATCCACTGGCGGGGGCGATCGCCGGTGAAACATCGCAGGTACATGACGATGACCCGATTGGCGGCCTCCGTCGCCGCCGCCGTCCGTCCGTGGGTGGAAGGTCGAGGACATGTAGAGCTTTGTGTCCGGTGAGCCGCATGAGCTCCTCGCCGTAACGCCGATGTGAAGATCGGGTCGCGGTCCGGACGTGATGGATCGCGGCACCCGTGGAGGCGGACGATGTCGGCGAAGAAGGCGTTGGCGACGGACTTCGGCAGCAGTAGGGTGTAAAGATTTGCTGAAGCGATCCACCACGGAGAGGATGACCGTCTTGCCACGGACCTTGGGAAGCGCCTCGATGAAGTCGATGCCAAGGTCGGCCTGCATCGCCGATGGCACCGACAATGGGGCCAAGAAGAGCCGGCCCGGTCAAGGTGGTCACCTTGTGTACTGGCAGTGTGACGCAGTGAGCCTTGACGACTCCCCGCACCAAAGCACGCATGTTGAGAAAATGAAAGTCGCGGCGGAGCCGATGGAGGGTGCGGTGGATCCTCGTGGACCGTCATTGTGGACGGCGGCCACAATCTCTGCAGCAGCGGCGGCGACGCCGCTGGATGTACAGCGGCGGCGTGGGCGACCATGCGCATCCACTAGCGCCCACGACGCAGAAACGGGCACCGACCGCAGCTGTCGTGCATGGCGACCAAGGCCGGATCCGTGGCTCGGGCGTGATTTGAGGCGGTCGACGAAGTCAAAACGAGGCGCGGAGATGGCCAGCAGCGACCCGTCCTCCTGATCGCGCCGCGAGAGAGCGTCGGCGACGACGTTGGTGGCGCCGGACCGGTACTCCACCGAGAAATCGAACCCGAGGAGCTTGCCGACCCAATGATGCTGTGGGATCGTGAAGCGAGGCGCCTGGTCGAGGAGGTACTTGAGGTCAGAGTGATTGGTCTTGACTATGAAGCGGCGCCCCAAAGGTATGGCCGCCATGATCTGCGGGACCGCCGACCAGCCCGATCGGTTCAAGGCCAGACGCTGTGGCGAAGCGAGGAGTGGCGGCGCCACCGCCGGTGAAGAACGCCACGGGGTGGCCCTCCTGGACCAGACGGCGCCGAACCCGGACGTAGAGGCGTCGCACTCGACGATGAAGAGCTTGTCGAAGTCGGGCATGGCGAGCACGGGCGCCGTCGTCACAGCGGCCTTGAGAGCCGCGAACGCCGCTGCGGTGGAGTCGTCCCACGAGAATCCCCTCCTTCTTGAGCAGGCCCGTCAGCGGTGCCGCAATCGTCCCATAATTGTGGACGAACTTGCGGTAGTATCCGGCGAGGCCGAGGAAGCCGCGCATCGCCGGGGAGCGAGGAGGCTACCGACGATCGCTGGAAAACCGCCGAGATGATGTGGCCTAGGTAGGCAACGCTGGGCGCCTGAAGGAGCACTTGGACCGCTTGACGAACAAACCGGTGGCGGCGGAGTGTATCGAGGACGGTCCGGAGGTGTCGCAGATGGTCCGCCCACGTCGTGCTGTAGATCAAAATATCGTCAAAAAATACCAGAACGAAGCGGCGGAGGAACGGCCGGAGCACATCATTCATCAGGGCTTGAAAGGTCGCCGGGGCGTTGCACAGGCCGAACGCCATGACCAGGAACTCGTACAAGCCGTCATGGGTGCGGAACGCCGTCTTGTGGATGTCCTCTGGGCGCATGCGGACTTGGTGATAGCCCGAGCGCAGTCCGACTTTTGGTGAAAAATCGAGCCCGTGGAGCTCGCCGAGGAGCATGATCGTCCGCGCGCGTTCAGCGCCTGTAGTCGACGCAGAACCGCCACGACCCGTCCGGTTTCTTGACGAGGAGGACGGGCGACGAGAACGGGGAGTCGCTCCGGCGGACGATGCCCTGCTCCATCATGGCGGCGCACTGGCGTTCCATTCATCCTTGGGCCGCCGAATGCCGTGAAGGACGGACGGCCACCGGCTGCGGTCCGGCTTGAGCATGATGCGATGGTGTCGCGGCGCGCGACACGAAGCGGAACCGGTCGGGTCGGCGAAGACCCCAGACGCGAAGAGCGGCGGCGCCGAGGAGGGGAGTCGGTGTCGAGTGTCGCGCGCAGTGCCGGAGACGACGGTGGGCGAACGCCATACCATGGCCAAAGCAACAGCGCCGGGGGCCGAGGTCCTGTGACGGCGCCCGAGCAGCCAGCCCAGTAGGTGCAAAGACGTGATTTATGTCGCGATCGCCAACGGCATGACGAAGAGGTCTTACGGGAACGACTTCGCCGTCGACAAGCAGGGCGCGGGCGCGAGGACGCCTGCCGCACGCGCGACGCGCCCGTTAGCGACCAGGCGCCGTAAGGCGGGGCGCCTGGTCGAGGGCAGCCGGAGCGCCCGGCCAAGGCTCTTCCGCGATGTAGTTGCAGCGTGCTGCCCGAGTCGAGGAGAGCCACGAGCATCAGGGCCCCAGTGCCCACCGTGATCTCAGATGGTGCCCGCCATCGGCACCCCGGCCAGCGACTGCAGGGAGAAACAGCGCCTCGGCGTTGTCCACGACGGCGGCGTCCTCGACCTCGGCCTCCAGTTCGACCCCTTCGACGAAGAAGATGCGCCTACAGAAGCGGTTATGGCCACGGGTGTACCGCTCATTGCAGTTGAAGCACAAACCGAGGCGACGGCGGTCGGCCATCTCCTCCTGCGTAAGACGGGCTGGAGAGCCTCGGGTCGGCATTAAGCCAGCAATGCGAGGAGAAGCCGAGAAGGCGGCGGCCCGGCGGGCAGACGGCTTCTCGGCCGCGCCAGTGGAGGCGGTGGTGGCACATACCGCTCTCGGGGAGGAAGCGCCGGTCGGTCCAGCTCCATCAACTCGACCTGGCGGGCGAGGCTGATAGCGGCGACGAGGGTGTCCGGATGGTGGATGCGGACGGCGTTGCTGAGCGGAGGCCCGAGGCCGCCGGTGAAGAGTTGAACGCTGCGCCTCGCCGAGCCGGCCAGCCATGAGGGATCGTGGGCTCGAACCGATTGGCATACTCCTCCACGGCGCCGGAGGCAAGATCGCGCGCCAACTCGAACATGGGGGGCGAGCGCGAGGGGGACAAGCGCAGTCCAGAGATCCTTGAAATGCCCCGGGGACGGCGTGTTTTCGTCCTCCTGCGGTTTGGATGAACACGGTATGCGGCGTCGCCCAAGTGGTAGGCCGCCATGCGCGCGCGCGCTCCTCCGGCATGGTGCGAGAAAGGACGTGCCATCATAGTGGGGAAAATCCCACTTCTTGTGCTTCGGATGGAACTCGAGATCGCGCCGATTGTCGGCATGACGGGTGTCGAGCTCTCACCGTGGGCGCCTTCTCCTTGAGTGAGGCGACATCGGCCTCTGTGGTGGAGATCTTGGCGGACACCTTCTTCATCTCGTTGAAGAGATCGATCAGGGTAGGCTCGGCCATGGGCGGCGACTCACTGGGCGCGGTGGGTGGGTTGTGGGTGGGGGGGGCGGTTGGTTCATGGGAGGTCTGTCAAGGCCATGGGCGGATCGTGAACGCCAAGAGGATGAGCGGCCGATCACGATACCATGTCAAGGGCGCGAAACCTCGACGCACAGGCCTCGGCCAAGGAGCTCAGAGCCTTACCGTCTTCTCCGGTGAGGTTATGCATGCAGCTTGAGATTAGATGGAAGATAGGATAACAATCTTGCTTAATTCCTTCAAGTGTTACCATAACATATATAGGGCTGCCAACAAAAGGAAAACAAACTCCTAATCTTAAGGTAACAAATAGATGCTAATAATAAGGAACTAATCTCGATAACTTTCCAACCGAGGCCTCCTAGCCACGACCGCCTGATCGGCCTCAAGAGCGCGTTATGGATCGCCGCCGCCTGCGTATGTATTTGAGTACGACACCCACCACACATGACAATATGCATTCCCGATATTTTGATCAGGAACCTTATGGATGATATTTTGAGTACAGTTCAATCACATCGATCAAGAGTTCCTAAGATAAACCACTCTGCTTAACTTCAACAGGCTTCACAGGAATAGACGAATCGCTGCCAGAAACTTTCTCAGCCAAAGGGCTTACAGTTTTGGCCTCACCAAGCCGCACAGCCTGAGCAAAACTCTTGGTGATATGGCCCACGAGGTCAGTGGGTACAGTCAAGGGTTTCTTGGGCTCAACAACAATAGAACTGGGTAGATGTTGCTGATGCAGGCGTGCCTTATTTTCCTGCAGCGCTTTCTCACGCTCCTCATAAAAGTCAAAGTCATCAAGGATTGATGCATCATCATCATGGTTCTTAAAGATCTTCAGCATCTCCAGTCCTTGCTCTAGTTTCACCTACAATAAGCTCATGTGTCACATCAAATAGACAATACTGTGAATTTATGAAAGTAAAATGGAAAAGAAAGGCATGAGAATATTAACAGCTGAACTGAAAGCATGGATGGCAGTGGCACATCCTAACTAATATTTGATAGTGATTTCCATGAAAAAAACGAACTTATGTACAAGGATAAATTCAAATGCAAATTAAGCAAATGGAGATAGAGAAAGAAGTATAAATACCTCCTGTGTATCTCGGCTATTTGTTACGGGTTTATTGTCGTTATTTTCAAGAATTATATGCCGGAAAAGATTATTGGGGACATCCTTCACTATGTGCCACTTCACAGGGAATTGACCAGTCCACTTATCTTGCTGCCAGTAATCCACACTTTTCTCAAAGTCCACTGGTCCAATCATCTCAGCAACACCACAGAATTGTGCACTGGCATTCACCTGTATATATATTGTTCCAATTTTTAATATTAGCCAGGATTATTACTTAGGTAAAAAGGACTGGTGGCCTCAAAAAGGAACAAAGAATGGAGATGATGCTTTAATTACCGAAAATAACAGAAAAATGGGACGGTGCTCTTCCTTCTCCTTAGCTTCACGATAGGCTAAGTCCAGTTTCTTGTTTCCATTTGTGGTGCTAGCCCAAACACCATATTTTACACTCTTGTGCACATTATCTTCACTGTATGATTTTATGATGAAAAACCTGGCATTCGTGTACTCTGTAACAAAGTCAGGCCTGTTGTATGACTCACGACCAACTCCTGTAGTAGCCTTCTCATCCTTACTGTCAACCTCTGGTTGCTTCTTAGGCTTAGTAGCACGTGGACCCCGACTTTGCTCGTTAAGAAAGTCAAGTGGGCCATTGCAGCTGCAAATAAGTGCATTACCCCTTCCCCTCCTGCGCCCTTTCTCGATCGAGATCGAACTTCTACCATTAAGGCCAAAGCTGGTGAAGGATCCCCCATAATTACTGGCCTGTGGGAACATTCCACCATGTGAGAAACCCCTTCCATAGGAGTCAATTGTGGATCCCAAACCATAGAAGGGCTTCTGGTGAGGCGATGCCTGAAATTTGGGGAGAAACAAATAAATATCAAAAGGCAGATCTACAAGTAAACAAATTCAGTTATTTATGAAATTGTATATTCCTGTCTTTTTAAGTTTGTTTTTCTTTTCAGTCTTTATATAGCATATAATGTGTCAGCATAAAACAGCAAGTCAGAATTCCAGCTAAATGGTGGGTAATCCCCAAAACCAGTGACAGATACAGGCACATGCTTGCAGAGCAGAGTTTAAACTGCATCTGGTGGCAGCAATCAAATCTGAATTTAAACATCAACTGGCAATGAATCAAAAGAGTAAAAGACATCAGCTATATACACTGAAGGGTAGAGTTTTCATTGTTCTTCTTGGATAAAGTTAAGCTAGATTTGTTTCTGAAGTGAAAGACTACCCCGAGACAACCAATAGAAATGGTAACTTGTGCAAAGAGCTGCATCCATGATTTCTTAAGTACTATTTGAGGGAAGAGAAACATAGGGTTAGCAATGTGAAGAGAATACCATTCCCGAAGCCATTGGAAAGTTGCTTTGGCCATAGGTCCCTGGAACACCACTAGAAGGTTGAGGTGAAGCTGCAGGTGATGGAAATGACCCAGTTCCTTCTGAAGATCTGAACCATTCTGAGAGACGTCACAAAGTTAAAATGTTACCTATAGCATAAGACATAAATGAACTGAACAAAGCACAAAGTTAGATAATAACCAGGTCTTGGGCCAAACAGGAAGCTGTTTGGACTCAGGGTATCAGCGATAAAAGCTCCTTGTGTTGGGTCAATCGGCATCATTGTATTTGTATCACCCTGTGATATTGGAGTAGGAGAGCTTAAATATGGCATGCCAGGTGGTACTGACTGCTGGTAGTAAGGAGCCGAGAAGGAGAACTGCTGAGGGGAGTAGAGCTGACCATCTCCACTAACAGCAGTCGGTACAGGTGTTGCAATAGGAGAATAATGAGCATATGGGTCATAACCATAGCCACCATGGAACATCAATGAGGGGTCCTCATTGTATACAACCTTCAAGAAAAGACAAATTTAGAGCAGTGGCCTATGGCATATTTATGACAGAGGAAAACTTTTTCTACTTACTGGTGGGCCCACTTCCAATCCTTCAACACTCATGTAGGGAGGATATGTGTCCCATTCTTGTGGAGGGTTTTCATATCCGGAGCCTGCACATAGAGAGTGAACTATGTTAAAGTATGCAACAAGAACATTCATCAATCAAGATAAAAGCTGTGAAATCTACAATATATTAAAGAAAACAAAATATGTGGGCTTTGAGCCTACCCCACAAAAACAGATTTTACGTTGATATACACTATATTTCTACTCCTGATGAATCATAGGTAAATTCATAGAGAAATATGTTAAGAGCACCTCCTAATAGATTGTAGTCTAAAACTTTACACGTATACGCCGGGCCCGTGATATCCGGCGTTATGTTTCCAGCGCATGCAGCGCAAGACGTGAGGAACAGCCATGCGATCAAGAGCAAAGTGGCTACTGGAAGGCGATCGAGTTTCCTTTCCTTGGCATAGCTTTTGTTTTGTTTTGCATGGGCCGGCCTTGATTGTAGGAGCGTGGCTCCCGATTAGTTAAAGCCGTAAGGCTATAAACTCTCTGTATCAGGGTGTTAACAATTAAGCAAGATCAATTACTCCAATCTCTTTCTTCCTCCTTGCGCACTCTCAAGCCCAGGCGTTGCGAGGGGTATAACCTCCACTCTGGAAGACACGGCACGAGACTACGAACTACGTAGTCGAGGGCCAGCTACCCTAGATCGCTACGCCCTTGACAACTTGGTATCGCGATCCACTCGATCCTCGTCATCATCCGCCGCCGAGCCGCCATCCCCGACCACCCCAAACCCTACCTCACCACCGCCGCCGCCATCTCCCACCTCGCGCACCATGGCCGAGCCAACCCTAGCGGAGATCATGGATATGCTCAAGAACATGAACTCCAAGATCACTACCGTGGAGTCCGACTTGGCCGCCATGAAGGACAAAACGGAGTAAATCCTCCGGGCTGACGGCGACGACCGAACGGAAGGCGGGCGCGCCCAGTTCCACCCAAGCACAAGAAGTGGATTTTCCCGCCACGATGGGAACGGCCGATCCGATGCTCTTCCTCAACAAGCGCGACATACTTCCTGCGCAAAGACCGCGACCACGCCGGATGAGAAGGTGCGATCGCGGCGTACCACGGACGACTTTCTCGCGCAACTCGTTCACCCAGTCCGTGGAGGACGACGGAACCCCTAACTGGGCACACTTCAGGAGCTCTCGCGACGTGCGGTTCGGACTCTACGTTCCGCTCCGATGTTCGAATCGCCGAATGTCGCCAGACGGGACCGTGGAGGAATACTCCAATCGGTTCTGTGTTTCTACTAAAGCCGCCGTCTTGAGGAGCGTAAACTACTGGGGGTTGCCGCATCGATCGTTAACGCCAGAGTTCATCACCCGACGACCCTCGCGGAGGCCATGAGCTGGCCCGGCAGTGGAGTTGATGGAGGCCGAACGCGCGGCTCCTGGGGAGCGCCTACTGCTGGCTCATGCGGCGCCACCATCGCGCCCGCCTGCCGCACTTGATCTTTTGTTTAATCGCGGCGGCTTCGCTAATGGGGCACGCAGGCCCCGGCGCGCCACGCCGAGGAGATGGCCGAGCGACGCCGCCAAACCTTGCTTCAATCGCAATGAGAAGTACTCCTGAAGCGTATCTTCTTCCTCGAGGCGTGGAAATCGACGACACGGACGACGACAATGCGGCCGCCGGGGATCAGCGGGCGGCGTTTTCCTCTCGAACGGCAAGACCATGAGGCGTATGCCGACCGCCATCGCCTCATCGACACCGGCCCACCAAGCTTCATCGCGGAGGCGCAAGGCGCGGACTGTATGTGATAAACTGCCAATGCGCAATGGCGGCGAGTCCATCGCCGGGTGTTCTACGTCCGCGCCCGGCCCACATCGACGACCTCCACTTCGAGGTAGATTTGTTTGTCATAAGCTAAACTACGACCTTGTCTGGCACCAACCGGATGGCCACCTTAAACGCCGGCCGGACCGCAAAAAGGTGCTCGGGAGGCGTTCGCCCCAAAGGCCGCCCTCGCGACCACGACAACCAGCGCGCTCTCTACTTGAGGAGCTCCCGCCGGTTTTGGTGATGTCTTCGTCGAGCCGACGGCCTTCCCCACCTCAAGTCGCGACCACAAGATCACGCCAAACAAGGCCCAACCGGTTGTGTTTCGACCATCACGGTGCCGGCTGCCCCAAGGATGAACTCGAACGTCATGCCGCCATGACAGGCATCGTGTCGCCGCAGACGACTTTGCGTTTCGCGTCTCCAGTCCTCCTCGTCAAGAAGCCGGACGGAACATGGCGGTTTCTGCGTCGACTGTTCAACGCACTCACGATCAAAGACGCTTTCCCATCCCCGTCGCCGACGAGTCCGGACGAGCTCCAGTTGCAATTCTTCACCAAGCGGACTTACGCTCGGGTACCACCAATTCTGACGACACAAGACGGCGTTCGCCATGACGGACTCTATGAGTTCCTCGTCATGCCGTTCGACCTAGCAATGCTCCACAGACGCTCCAAGCTCTTATGAATGACGCCCTTGAGCTTTTCTTCGCCGCTTTGTACTCGTGTTCTTTGACGACATTTTGATTTACAAAGAAGTCTTGGGCATCATTCATGTATTCCGTCCTCGCCAACTCCGCGCCCACAATACCAAGCGCTCAAGCGCTTTTCGGTGTCTCCTCCATCTCTACCTCGGCCACATCATCTCCAGGCGGGTCGCCATGGATTGTGCAGCCATCCACGACCGGCCGGTCCCTCGTTCGTCGGCGGGGGCGGTTCGCGGCTTCCCTACCCAAGCACAACACGCAACGGTGGCGGCTCCATTGATGTTCTCCTCAAGAAGGGACGGTTTCTCGTAATGCATCAACGGCTGACGCCTCAACATGACCCATCTTAGCCATGCCGACTTCTCCAAGACCTTCATCGCCGAAAGCGACGCATCAACACATGGCTTTGGGGGCGGTACTCATCCAAGAGGGCCATCCACGCCTTCTTCGAATGGGCTATGTGCCGCTTCGCCGCTTATGAACGTGAACTCATCGGGGTGGTTCAAGCGGTGCGCCACAGGAGGCCGTATCTATGGGGCGCGGTTCCTCGTCAAGACGGACCATTATAGCTTGAAGTATTACGCTTTCGACCGAATGCTCGCCACCATTCCTCAACATCACGTTGGGCTTCGACTTCGCCGTGGAGTACAAGCCAATTTAACGCCGTGGCGACGCTACCGTCTCGCGAGACCGAGGAGGCGTCCATCATGGCGGTGTCCGCCTGCCGCGCCGACCTCTTGAGCGCCCCGACGCTGCAGACATCCGACCCGGCCAGGCCATCCGTGACGAGATCACGCCGGTCATGTGCAGGACCCGTGGGACGGTGGTGGAGGGCTTCGCGATTCACGGACGCCACGTTCCCCAACCTCCCGGCCGGTTCAAGAGCTCACGGTGGCACTCCATGCGGAAGGCCACGAAGGAGTCCGAGGACTCTTCACCGCATTCGCCGCGACTTCCATTTTCCAAACATGAAACCGCTGGTGCAAGACGGGCGTGGCGCGCGACGCGTATGCCGCCAGTACAAAAACCGAACACCTACATCCCGGCTGGCCTCTCACGCTGTTGCTTGCGGTGCCCTGTGGTGGTGTGGACGGACATAGCCCTGGATTTTGTGGAAGCTCTACCGCGCGTGCGTGGGAAATCGATGATCCTCACGGCCGTGGACGAGTGTTGATGAAGTATGGCCATTTCATTCCACTCGCTCACCCGTACTCGCCGAGTCTGCCGCCAGCAGCGCGTTCTACAACCGACATTGTTCGTCTCCATGGCATCCCGGTGTCCATGGTGTCGGATCGAGATCCGGTTTTCACGCCCACATTACGGAGGGAGCTCATGCGCGCATGTCGGGCACGAAGATGCGCTGACGTCGGCGTTCACCCGCGATCCGATGGCGGTCCGAGGTCGCCAATCGGGTGATCATCATGTACCTCGGTGCCTCACGGTGACAAAGCCACGCCTTGGGACGCTTCCTTTGGGCCGAAGTTCATGTTCAAAAGATACCGTATAATCGAAAGAGACTCGCTCGCATCGTACCGGGTCGTGATCCGCCGTCCATCCGGCCATATGAGCAGGGGAGACGCGTCAGCGCATTGTGGGGCTAAGAGTATGACGGAAGAAGAGTTTTTGGCCGACGTCCGCTTATCGGCCGGAGCAAGCGCAGCTACGTAAGCTTACAGCACGACAAGGTACATCGTCATGTGGCGCTTGTGGGCGAAGGTACTTCGCGGCCGCCACAAGGCGGCATCTCTCTACAACAACCCACCTCCGGCAAGCTCAAGGCCAAGTTCTTTGGGCGCACCAGTCACCGAAGCTCATCAATGAGGTGGCGGTTCGTTTGGCACTCCCTCCCCGTTCGCATTCCACGCGTCTTCCACGCGGTGAAGAAGTACCACGGCCCGGTTCGGATGCGCCACCACGTCTACCTCGGCCGCCGATGGTGCCGTGGGTCGCCGAGCCCGAAGGCCGCCGTCCGCTTCCGCTTCGGGCGCGCCCGCTGAGTCTTGATCCACCGGAAGGGCCAATCTCCGCGATCGGCGACATGGGAGGACGCCGAGCCGTTCATCGCAAAGTACCCGGAGTTCCAGGCTCGAGGACGAAGCCGCCTCTCGACGGGGAGAGATGTCATGGTCGCAAGACGATATATCGTGAGACGCCGCCCGTGATATCCGGCGGTGACGCGAACGCGCTGAAGCGCATGCAATACAAGACGCGTCACCACGCGATCAACGCGAGAAAGTGGCTGACCGGAAGGCGATCGGAGTTTCCTTTCCTTGGCATAGACATTTTTGTTTTGCATGGGCCGGCCTTGATTGTAGGAGAGCGTGGCTCCGGTTAGTTAAAGCCGTAAGGCTATAAACTCTCTTGATCGTGGTGTTAACAATTAAGCAAGATCAATTACTCCAATCTCTTTCTTCCTCCTTGCGCACTCTCAAGCCCAGGCGTTGCGAGGGGTATAACCTCCACTCTGGAAGACACGGCACGAGACTACGAACTACGTAGTCGAGGGCCAGCTACCCTAGATCGCTACGCCCTTGACATAGATAGTCTAAAACTTTTTATATCATTGCTTCGTTATGTTTCCATAGGCTAATATAGCATGAGATCAACTATATAGGACAACGCATAAGTTGGTGTTCTGTCATAAAGACTGGAGAAGGAATGCAAAGTGTGAAGAGACAAGAAAGCTGACCTTGGTAATAGAATGGCTGTGCCTGAGAAGCATAGAAGTTGTGTGCACCATTATGGCCCCCATCCATGTTGGATATGCCAGCTTGGGTTTGGCCTTCACTTGGTAGATCGATAGCATTTGAATCAACTGAAATTGGCGGCACAGCTGCTTTCTCATCCTTACTGGCAACAGGCTGAGGTAGATGGTTGATACAATCGACAAACAGAGTCAATAAACAAAGTGTAAAAAAAGGATAAAAAAACAGTAATACAGTAATGAGTAATGACCTGCTCCTTAGGCTTCTCAGAGAGACCTATCTTTTGTTCGACATTGGCTACTGGCTCCTGCTTATCCATAGAGCCTGAAATATCAAGGTTAGACAAAATCATGTCAGGCTTCAACAAATGAGGCTATCCAATTGTATGTGATAAACTGAGTGCCATATATTCTATTATTATGAAGTATAAGCTAAACTTTCACAGATGGCCTTAAATAGCAAAAAAGGATAGTTGCCTCCCTAACATATTTACATCAAAATAACATGTGATCACATCACCCAGTACATGGCATACAGATTGTATTGAGTTGTAACCAAATATGTTGATCATTGATAAAAGCACACACAAGAGGAGTTGCAATCAGCAGTGCTCGAAATTCTCATACTCGTTGCCTGTACTTGGCCTCTTACTCTAGTCTACAGGGTAAAGGCGCATCTTAGGTGTTTAACATGCATCATTCTATTCAGTGCAAACAATACCACATCTCAGGGAATATATAGCCACATGACATTGGCAGACATCCTACCAGAACCCTCTACGTTAGCACGATCTGCATCAACCATCAACATGACGTACAGTCAGGTATGACAAATAGCACACGAAGCCCATTCAGGCATCGAAAACTATGTACGGCCCGCACGAACTGACCGTGCAATGCTACAGGAACTACATACACGTGACAATTTCTACGTGACAACAGCACCGTACCCAACCAATTTAAATGTGATATACTGATATCGATGCGCATAAACTTGTGCACACGAACCAAGGGAACCTACCGAAAAGGACTCGAAATGCGTTAAGCTGAAGCTCGGGCGATTCCGCCGGACCTTGGCTGCGTGAAACAGCAGCGTGCACCATGTGGAGCAAGAAGCCTGATCAACTCAATTTGAGCCCCCCTGGTTCTAAACCAATTTACTCAATAGTACATCTCGAATCGCAGAAGCCATGGCATGACAACACTAGTAACGTCTGAATTGACGCGAGATCTTACGCAGGGTGACACAGGGGGGTGGCAGACGCATCAATCAAAGAAATCGAATCGGCGACAAACCGGACGGGTAGGATAATAATAAGGAGAAGAAGGATTTGAATTTGAAGGCCCTCCGATCAAATCATGGCAGCAGAGTGTGCAGAACAAAATCCCTTACCGGCAAAGGCAATAAGAAGGAATCAAGCAGTCCGGGCTGCAGGGAGGGATCTCCGCTCCAGCGAGCGGCGAGGGCGCGCCTACGATAGAAGGAAGAGGAGCGGTGGAAGGACGCCCGGATCGGCGCAGAGGCCGGCGGATCTGGCGATCGGATCGGGCTCCCACACCCTCACCTGTGTGTGGCTCGTGATCTGATGAGACTTGAGAGGAGACGGGACCGTGACCTTGTTGGTGGGGCGATTGGTGCTACACTGCTACCCTTTTCTATATTTCTTCTCTTCTTAAAAAAATGCTGTGATTGACGATGATTTGTAAGTGTATATACTAGAATAATATTCGTGCGTTGCACGAGAACATAAGACATTTGTGATTTTGGATCCAACCCTGCTTTCAGGCATCTTGCAAGACTATTGTTTTGGTCAGTAATTGGATCCGACAAAATTGAAGTTTCGAATAAAAAGCTATTAATTTTTGAATTTTGAGGCATTTAAAATATTATCGAAATATATTTTTTAAAAATCTTTTTGCACTTTAAATATTTTTTTTATGTCAGCATTAATATTTGTAGTGTGTATGGGCCCGTGAATCTCGGTGGCTGATCAAACGACTCGTAGACTAGAATTATGCCCGTGTGTACTGAGGCCATAAATTTCTGTCCACAGCCACGGTGACGGATTCATACAGAAAATAAAAAAAAAATAAAAAACTAATAACATGACGCGGACGGTGAGGTCGACGATTTCGTATGGAACGCGGGCACCTGGCTTCGGCCTTCGTATTAGAATCAGGACGCGAGAACCTAAGAGCATCTCCAAGAGTTTTCTACTTTTTTCTTCTAAAAACTTATAGTTTGGCAACTCCTAAAAAAATTTAGGGAGGAAAAAAAGATCATCTCCAAGAGTTTCTAATAAATGACATCTAAAAAATCAATTTTAGGGCCACATGAATTATGTTGCGGCTTGAGAGGAGGAGTCACGCGCGACGTCGTCGGCAGCTTGCACTTGAGATCCAAGCACCGAAGATGCACCAAAGCAAATGCTGACTTGAGATCCAAAATGACCAAAGATGTACGATGTAGAGTAGACATTTCCCTTTCTTGAAAGAAAAAACACCAATACTCAATACTACATACGATCACACTGACACACGTAACGCAAAGCTTCTTAACACAGACGTGTAGGCGGCGTGGTAGCCGCCAAGAGCATTACTTGAATATACACATATACATGGCGAGCAAGCTGCGTTCTGCATCGACGCGTTCACACATCGTACTCGAACGACTGGTGATGATCTTGGACTCGACGCCGCCGCCGGCCACGGACACGGCGCGGCGCTGGAGACGCGATTTGTAGAAGAGCGCCCGAGCACCTCACCTCTGGAGCGAAATGCATGGCAGCAAACGGGCATCTTGAGGGACGTTGCGGAGGGCGGAGCGGCGACTGGCGGAGTCGTGGTGGATGAAGTCCACGCTGAACCCGCCTTCACCGGCAACAACAGAGGCCGCTGCAAAGTGCGACCGCGTTCATGAGAGAGGAGAGTGAATGGAAGAAGCATAGTCGCCGCTTCCATGCGAGGTGGCGCCACCATTGGCTTCGTGTGTGGAGGAGGAAGCCGTATCCGCGCGAGTGGCGTCCTCGTAAAGTTACGTGGAACTTGTAAGATTTACCAAGTGCGTAAATTTTAGGAAGAAGTATTAGGAGTTGTTGGAGATGGTTTTTTTCTAATCTTTTTAAAAACTTAGGATTAGGAAGGAGTTTAGGAAACTCTTGGAGATGCTCTAAGCTCCGAGTAAGATGATTCCTATCATACGCGGACGTGTGTACAGGGATTGAGCCTGGTATCCTCGGACAGATGACGATGTTAAGAGACTATAGGCGTTTGAATTTTGATTTTGAAAACAGGGAAAGATTTTCCAAAAAAAACAGAAATATATATATATTATATATATATATATATAAGCATACACAGTGCATTTCGTGAAGTCAACTTATCGGATTTATAAACTCGGGTCCCTTATAGACCGGCTTTCCAACAAAAGCTCGGCCCAGCAGACAACGTTGCGAATGACGCATAACTTCTGGGCCGGCCCAAATATCGACGCGCAAGTTCTGGGCTGGCCCAAATACCTAAACGACACGCCAGAAGGGCGATCCAATCTCCGACCGGAAGGTCTGGCCGAGGAGGAACGGCGCCCGCTTCCAACTCCGGCCCGCCTCTCCGATCGGAGCGCTCGCCTCCGACTCCAGCCCATCTTCGGACGACCTCTCTGACCGGAAGGCCTGGCCAAACACCACTTTCGACTCCGACCCGCGTCTTCGACCGGGGATACGCCGAACCCCTGCTCACAGCTCTTCTCCAACTGGCACAATCAGAGCCAACTGGGACCAACCGACCGGGGACGTCCGCTCGGTAAGGACTAGAAAACGGACGGAGAAAGTAAAGCAGGGCACTCAAGTCAACCGTAATATCAACACTGTACCCTGTACACCTGTAAGACAGTACCCTGCGACCTTCCCAAGCAGTGTGGTAGGCGTCGACATTTTCCATACAGTGTTGTGGGCGCCATCAATTTCCATACCAGACAAACACGGTAAGGTTCCCCCCACATGTCTCTGGACCTCAACAGTGTTGTGGGCGCCGGCATTTACCGTACCATGCAAACACGGTAAAACCCTCTATATGCCTCTAGGCATCAACAGTATGGCAGGCACCGATATCTGCCATACCAAAAGAAGACGACGCAACCTCCCACATGCACCTGGCATTAACAGTGTTATGGACGCTTACAATCATCTTGTACCCGACGATGTGGGCAACAAGACTTAGCGTACATACACACTCTCTCTCTCTCCTTCTCACTTGTAAGGTCATCCCCTTCATCTATAAAAGGGGGTGCGCTCTCTTCCAAACAGACAGATCGATTCAGTATACCACAACAGGACGACCAGGTTCAAACCTCGAGCACATGCTCGAACACTTATCACATAGCGGAGCTCCCATCACTCTCGGCCCTTCATACCAGAGTCCGACCGGACCTCTTGTAACCCCCATCTTTCTCCTTCTCGTTTGTAACCCCACTGCAAACTTTGAGCACCTGAGCTCAGGAATAAAGTCACCGACCGACTCAAACTGGACGTGGGGCACATTGCCTGAACCAGTATAAACCCTGTGTCATTGAGTGCTAGGCCACATCCGATTATAACATACGGCAAAATTACAAATATTTACATGTTGGTCACTTTCTGCACCGATAGTTGGCGCCGTCCGTGGGGAAGACGTTATACGTTCACACTTTTTTGTCATCAGATGGCCCACTTTTCCGCCACCTTCGCCATAACGGGCTCAAGCGATACGACTCGCTTTGGCTCAATGGAGTTTCCCACACTCCCACCTGTTGGGATGCAGATTTCACCCGTCTTCGAGCCGTCACAGGCCTTCCTCTTCGGAAGCGTGGACTTCGTCGCCGACCGGCTCGGCGTACTACACCTCCGCGAGGAGGCAACCATCCCGGTGCCCGTCGGAGGGGTGCCCTCTGTCGGCTCCGGGACAACCAACGACTTCAACGATGAGGCGCCTACGCTTCATTCCAAGCAAACACAATGCTCAAACCCCGCTGTGAGTAATGTACAAACTGTTATTTACTCACTATTTACTATATTTCGCCGATTATCCGGAGGGACCCCGTTGTCCCTACCGCGACCACCATATGACCGGTTCCCCTATGGCCTCGCGTCCCCCGCGGATGCGTACGCCGGGGGCTCCGAAGGATGCTGGCGACGCCCCCTCTCACGTCCAAATTTGTGGGGATGGCGAGCTATGCTCCCACCTATTTCCTCGACCTCATGGATGACGATGTTGAGAGTGACGGCTCCAGCATCGGCGACGTGGCACCTAGCCACTGTTTGTCCCTAGGAGTGCGCTATGGCGGACGCTCCGGGACAAGCCACCGGTGGTAGCAGAGTTCTTGTAGACTCACACCCCTCCGGACCCTCGGGCGGGGACCCTCACGCTCACACAAGAGCATGGCGAGGAGCTACGACAACGCCGGCAGAACCAGCCGCCACCTACGCTAGCGCGCTCGGCGCACCACACTGCGCCCCGTGCGCATAACCCGGCGAGTGACGCCTAGGGTCGCGCCCGCCAGGTCCAGCGCAACATCATGGATGGGGAACGATCCCCCACAGTTCGCTCGGGCTAGCCAAAATATCGCCGTTGCGGCAATGCTTCTGCGTGGCCTTCCGAGCCGAACAACCCCCAGGAACAGGCGATCCATCAAAACCTCTGGGCACTTGTGGAAATCGCCGCCGTTCAACAGGCAGAGAGCTCCGCATCACAACACCGACTCACGCCCTCTCTCCCCACCAGGGGAGTGGGGACGCACCAGATGAATCGCTCCACCCGCTCACCGCTACAGCCGCCGAGTGCGGCACAGGAGGCCACATCTGCGCCCTAGCCTAACTTGGCGCCCGCTCCACACCGACCGCCTATACACGAGCGGCTCAGGCTGAACCAAGACGCTCGCAGCATCATTTGCAACCGGCGTCGGTCCCGGCATGATGATGACGTCCATCGAGCGGCAGTGATGGCAGGTGATACAGACCCCGGCCGGACCATCGCGAGGAATGGTGAAACACACCCCAGGCGCGGTCGCCGACCGGACGATCAGAGTCTCAGCCCGGATGGCCCAGGACCACGGGCCTTTGGCCAACGC